AAAAAAAAAAAAAAGGTTAACAATTTCGATTTTTAATTAAAATATTTTTTTGGATTCTTTCTTTTGAATTTTTTTTTCCTTTGTTTGGTGGCGTGGGGCCCAATCTACGTGATGGCTATTATACTTTGAAGTCCATATATTGAGCCCAATTGACGTGGTGGCTCTCCTCAATGAGTCTATAAACTTATTCTTTTATATATTTATGTATATTAACAACTGTGGAAATACTAAGATCCCGTTACGGGATGATTCAGTCAGCATTTTTCTATGTTTCGATACATATATAGATTATGTTGTGTAGATAATCTGCTAACAAACACTAACGGAATCATTCCGTCAACGAGACTGTAGCTTTTTTGGCTAGCTTCTTTTATGTAATCACTCCACGTCAAGAATACTTTTGGTACCATTATCCTTTTATTCAAACACTTCATGCTTTTAATGAAAATAATGTAAGAAATGTGACAAATTAGACTTGAAATTACAAGAAGGTTCGTGGATAGGGGACCAAATTAATATTAATAATTTGGTCGTCTCTTCGTTGAAAATTCCCATTAAGTGAGTTTATCATGTAAAATGTTTGATTATAAAAATTTATATAAAATAGTATTTTCATTATATTATATTTCAAGATAAAAAAAAATATGTTTATATATTTTTTTAAAAAACTATATATATATATATCTATAATTTTTAGGTTTTTCTAACAGACTTGTGGAGTAAAAGTGATTTTAATAGGTAAAGTCCAACCTACTTTCCCCAACACATCATTTATATAGGAAAAGTTCAGTAAGAAATTGACTTAATTAATCATATAGTCTAATAAAGTCATTGTGTAAGGTATATGGTGAATTAATTCGACCTAGCGTCTTAGATCACACAAACACACACATATTCAGATGAACGTGTTACTATTTGACGACTTAGATATATGCTTATGTCGAATGTTTGAACCGTCATAACACACACACACACACACATCTATGTGGATGTATTGATCTAACGGCTGAAAAATGTCCACATCAAAAGTTTGAGCCGTCAAATTACACGTATATAATATTTATGTAGATATGTATGTATTTGACCTAAATTAAAGCTCATAAAATGTCTGGGTAAAATTTTGCAAAGAAGATAAGGGTGCCTTTTGGATTTAGATTTGTCTGTTATAGTTTGTTATAAAGTCAACAGTTGGCTCTGTAATGGAGACAACAAGTAAACTATATAATATTCTTATCTGATTACCTAAATAATACAATATTGACCTAAATTAAAGCTCATAAAATGTCCACCTATGTGTCAAATTTTGCAAAGAAGATAAGGGTGCCTTTTGGATTTAGATTTGTCTGCTACAGTTTTGCAATGAAGTCAACAGTTGGCTCCGTAGTGGAAACAACAAGTAAACTATACAATATTCTTCTCTGGTTACTTAAATATTACTAATAAATTTATTAAAACGGTATGATTTACTTGTCATATATAGAAAGTTGACTCCAACCTTTTTTTTTATTATTATTATTATTAGGCCGAAGGCCTAAACTAGAACTTGGCGGGGATACGACACTCCAAGATTATCATGATCAATCCAGGAACCTAACCCCAAGATTATCATGATTTACTTATCGTATATAGAAAGTTGGTTTCAACTGTTGGTTTCATAACAAAACTGTTGTCTGCTAATCAGATCATTAATAGTATTTAAATTATACTATATGCTAGCTGCTGTTTTTGGCAATTTAGCTTAAATTCTGCTTGCTTTATGCTTTAATCATCACAATTTGTAAGCGTGCGGACTACGAATTTAGGCATTTAATTATGTGGTGTTGATTGATAATGCCATTAAGCACCATAATTACTAATTAATTAGCAAATTGCTTACAAAAGTTTTAATGTCGGCTCTCTCGATGCATGCACTCGTGACCTAACATTGATGAATTTTGTGATTATCTTTAACTAGTACAAGACCCGTGTATTACACGGGTGCTTGCTATTTTTTTTTTAAAAAATCTAAAATTAATGAGAAAATAGTTTGAAAATTTAAATACGTTTTATAAGAATATATATATTATTATAAATTTCATATGACACTTTTTATTTGTGCAATTTATTTGTGTTATATTATACTAATTTTTTTTAACTTACAATATATAACTACATTACATATAAATATATTAATTGAGAAATAATTTTATTTTTCTAATGAATTTTAATAAATATTATTATAAAGATAAATATTATTTATTTATTTCATATATACAATATGGATGTCAAATCGAAGATCATCAAAAAATGATTAATTTGATATATTACATATGTAAAACCGATAAGAAATACAAAAGGTGTCAACTTTTAAAATACATTTATAATTCAATAGCTTATTGAAGAAAACAAATCAAAATTTAGGGATATATTAGTCACTTAGTGCCTCACTATGTAAAATTATAAAGAATTAAAGGGTTATATTAGTAAAAGTGATATTAGAATACCTAAGTTAGCTATATAATATTTATGGAATACCCGAACCTAGATTATTAATTATTAATATATCAATATTATTTATCCAAACCTAATTACGAAGCATGATTCTTCGTCAAATAGGATTTCGAAGCACAAAAAACAGTCATGTAGGCTCAGCACATTCGGACCTTATATATAGGGAGGATTCATCTCCTATTTATCATTTTGTGGACATTAACCAAATAATTTTCTTATAATATATATATAATTATATATATGGAAAATGATACAGTCCGTTACGAAATCATTCTATTGAGATTTGTAACCGTTAAATCATCATGATATCGTCGTGGATAGTTGATCTAACGATTACAAACTCCGACACAATAGTTTCGTAATGAGACCGTAGAATCTCCTTATAAATATAATCCAATACATAGGTATATCTATAAAATGAAGTCAAACCAAGTTAGGCCATTAAGCGAGACTCCGCAGGCACAATGTGATTTTTATATTATCTTTAAAATGAAGTTGAAGAAGCCTCCAGAATTTAGTTCAAAAATTGCATATTTTAATATAAGGTTCGCTAAAAATCTAAATTTGACCGTTACTTACTCATCATATATCGGTCACCTCTCTATAACATTTTTTATTGAACAATGTGATTTTTTAATATAATCACGTGAAGGAAAAAAATAAATTAATAAGAAAGAAACAAAAAAAAAACTAAAAAATAGAAAAACGAAAAGCACCTGATGGCTTATTAAAAGTCCAAAAAAACCGACGTCTAAGGCGGGTCGTGGGTGGCGATTTGATTAAAAAATAAGGTATGTTTATTTTACAGAAATTGTATAAAGCGATCGAATGACTTCCTAGCAAAGTCGAGTCATTTGATGGTTCCATAACAAAACCGATGTTTATTAATTTCATTAAAACTGAAATTTAAAAAAAATATATATTATAATTTTATTGCAATATTTTTCTCTATAATCTCATAACATAATTAAAAAACAGTGAAATTTAATAACATTAATGACCCAAAAAAAAAAAAAAAAAA